AACACAAAACACAATAGAGGTTGTGATGAGTATTTTACTATTTACCTGTGGTTTTGGTGATGGTACAGGTTTAACCATCTCTTCTTCCTCCTCCTCATCACCTGCCAATTCTTGCAACTCTGCTAATAACTCAGCATCTTCTTCTAGATCCTCATCATCAACATACTCATCTGTGTCTTTCATACTCTCTGCAGCCATTCTCTCAATCTCAGCCATTGGTAATGGTTCTGAAGACAGTCACATGCATAGTTTGTTACATTGCTATGTCTATTACCGTGAGTATGGCATTTATCTGAACTCTTTCAAATAAATCAGACAATATTTTAGTGAGAAATCGACATGGACATGAAAAAAACAAAATGACTACCATTTTTGTTAAAATCTAAAAAAAAATATTTTGTGCACCTGTAGCACAATATACATGATCCTGATACAAAATTTGAGTGAAATCTGTTAATTTCCAGGAAATGGTTTGGTCCATATTAAAGTACAAGAATTTCGCAATTTGAGGACCAAAATGGCCGCTGGTCAGTCATATTTTATCAAATGGTGAAATTGACACTTATATGTAAGTCATTGTGTTATTAAAGTTGGAATATGATCAGTCAAAGCATGTTCGTGAAATGGCTGAAGACGAACATAATGCCATACAGACAAATGAGGGACTGAAAATAATTGAAGAGAAGAGGCAATTTACCCATCATGTCTTGCTATTGTACCGAATCTGAACAAAATCTGTAAAAGTACACAGTACAGTCTGATTGTGACTAATACAATGTAGTTTCTTTGAGAGTGACGTGGTCTACATTGTGATATTCACAGACATAAACTACGTTGTGTAGAGTAAATATAATGTATATATTTCCGACTGCATTTTGTTACAATGTAACTCTAAACCCAGTCTCTGATCAATCACCGGGACGATTACCATGAGTTGTACTATTTTTTTGTGTTATCAAGCGGGGTAAGTTTCGGGTCACATATGCGCCATGTTGATATCATTGCCTGAGATTTTAAATGAGATTGCACAACAAATTAATGAGCATCAGAAACCCACCATAAGTGAATAAAGTTTGAATGAAACCAATCAAAGCATGTCTAATGTTTTATGGGGCAAAAATGTTCATCAGTAAGTCAACAGAACAAAAAACTAATTAATGTACATAGGCATATGCCAGGCTTGACTTGCCTTGCCTTAAAATCAGTCAGGGTTGTCTGAGAAAAGATGTTGGATGTATGAACCAAAGTATGCTCCTGTTTCTCTGTCTACATCAGACATAGTAAAACAACACAGACACAACTATTTTGCAACAAGACATTCTAATGAATGTTTACATACTTTTCGTTGGTTTTGCTTCTGGTATAGTTTCACCAGATTGCAATGCTGCAAGTTCAGCTTCAAGATCATCATCGTCATCATCATCTCCGTACATATTCATATTCATGAATGCATCAGGGTCAGGAACATCTAACAAACCAAGCTGTAATAACAATGTCAGATAAAGAAATCTGATTGAGATTTGATCCTAAACATAGGAATATGCAATGCCATATTTATAATAGGTGGAAGCCATAATTTAAGTTTGAATTAAAATGTTCCACTGCTGTGTGATTATAATATTGATATCTCTTTTTTACAATTCTTTTAAAGTGGGAGGGTCATCACCTGCACACGTGTGGGAATTGAGTCCCAAAAAATG